TTATTGCATATGCATTAGGTGCATATGCGGTGACAGCTGTCGGAGAACCTTCCTTCTCCCCCCCTCATGCTCTACTTCTTGCACCTGCTCTTCTTCTTGCACCTGCTCTTCTTCCCTGCACCTGCTCTTCTTCCTGCCCCTGCCCTTCTTCTGCTGTCTCCCTGCTTCCTCTCTTCTCCATGTTGCATAGCCTCACTCAACCACTGCCCCCTCCTGTGGTCGTGCTCTAGCCGCTTGAGCTCGTGTCACAGGACCTTCTTGTAGAGGCTTGCCCCCCTTCGCTATGGCCGTGTTACTCTGATGCTCCTTCAGGATTGCTCCCTTCTCATTCTCCAGCACCAGCACTCCTGACGGACGCACCTCCTTCACTCTCCACCTCTCAGAGCCCACCCCGACATCCAGGGTGTCTTGCTTTGCCCGCTTCAGGTACACCTCTTGCCCTTGGCTCACTCCCTTCTTTGCTCTTCCCCCTGCCCCTTGTTGCTGCCGCTGCTCATACCGCCGAGCGTCTCTCAGCTGTGCTGTGTGGAGGTTTTCCAACGCTGCTGGCATCATCACCCGTAGGTATCTCGCCCTGGCTTCTGACAATGCCACCCAGTTCTCTATGGTTCCTGCCGTCACTGTGTCTGTGAGCACCCGGGCTGCTCCCACCGGCAGCAGCGGCTCACATCCATATAGGAGACTGTATGGAGAGTGATCCCGCAATGCCGCCTGCTTCCCAAACCTGTACCCCGCTGCAATCCAATGCAGCTCCTCATCTCAGTCCCGCTTCCTCTTCTCCCCATATGCTCGCAGTCCCCGCTTCAAGGTCTGCACCAGGCGCTCTGTCAGCCCATCACTCTGTGAGTGGTACCGCGAAGTGCGCCTGTGGGTGATCCCGGTCTCCTCCAGCAGCTTCTTGAACTCCCCTTGGAACTCGGTCCCATGGTCCGTGAGGACCTCTGCACATGCCCCGAATCTGCATATCACCTGCTCCTTGAACGATGTCGCCACGTGCCTCGAGCTCTTGCTCGGGATGGCCCTCACCTCCAGCCACTTGCTCACGTGCTCTACCATGAGCACGATGTACTGCTTGCCTCCTCGGCTCAGTGGCAGCTCCCCCGCCAGATCCAGGGACCATCTGAAACCTAGGCCTCGGATGGGCAGTGACTGCAACTCCGCCTTGGCTTGGGTGAGGTTTGCCCTGCTCCTTTGGCACGCCTCACAGCCCTCCACCCACCCCTTTACTTGCTTCCTCATTCCTTCCCACCACCACCCTGTCTTTAACACCAGCACCGTCCTCTCGTGCCCAAAGTGTCCTAGCTTGGTATGTACCTCTTTGATCACCGCCTCCCTCTCACTTGGCACCGGCACCAGCTTCCACCCATCTTCTGTCTGCACCTGCAGCTGCTGCTGGTACCATCTGTAGTGCTGTCCCATTGCCCTCACCCGCGCTGTCAGCTCCTCGTCCTCTCCTGTCTCTCCCTTCACCCACCGCATGGCTGGTCCGTCCTCCCAAATGTCTGCTGGCCCCTTCTCTCCCTTGGCCCCATTCAGCTCCACGAGTCTAGCCAACAGTGTCAAGGTCACCGTGGGTTCTGGCGGTGGAGGGTTCCTAGAGAGACCGTCCACGTGCTGCAACGTCTTCCCTGGCCTGTGCTTGATTTTGAAGTCATACTCCTGCAGCTTCATTGCCCACCTTGCATTCCTGCCCGTCAACCCTGGGGTCGTCATTAGCCACGTCAGGGGCTGGTGATCCGTCACCAAGGTGAACTCCCTCCCTTGCAGGTATACCCTGAAGTGTCCCACAGCCCACATGGCCGCCAATCCTTCCCCTATATACGAGCTGTACTGTGCCTCCGCCGAGTTGCAGCTCCTGCTCGCGTATGCCACCACCTTCTCCTCTCCCTCCACCTCTTGGCAGAGTATCCCCCCCATCCCTTGGCTGCTCCAGTCAGTGTAGAGCGTGAATGGGTGATCGGCAGCGGGCAGCTTGAGCACCGTTGCGGTCTTCACTGCTGTCATTAAGTCCTGCAATGCTCCTCTCTGTGCCTCTCCCCACTCCCACGCCTTGTCCTCCCGCAGTAGCCCGTTTAGTACCGTCGCTCTTTTGCTGAAGTTGGGCACAAACCGCCTGTAGTAGCTCAGGAAGCCCATACAGGACTTGGGCTCCCTCAGCCTGTCCAGGACTTCCACCTTGGCCTATTGTATCCCTATCTGCCCCCCTTTCACCTCGTATCCCAGATACTGCACTGTCTGCTCCCCCCATCTGCACCAACGGTGGTGGCAGCCAGACTCTGACTCTGACCGCCTGATCAATCCTGCTTCCAGCAGCTCCTTGATCTTCTCCTTGCAGATCTCCTCGTCCCCGTGCGGCATCTTCCTCCTGCGGTGGAACACTGGTTCTGTGCTGCTCAGCTTCAGCTCCATCTCCTTCACCTTGCACCTTCCCAGTTCCTGCATGGTGAAGGCGAAGCATTTCCTGTGCCTGGCCAGCAGCTCCTGCATGGCCTCCCTCCCTTCCTTGCTCATCGCTTCCCCCACCTCCCATTTCTCCACCTCTTTCTCCTGGCAGCTCCATGCTCCCCGCGGCACAGCCTCCACTTCTCCCTTACCTTCCTCCTGCCCCCAGCTCACGACTGTCTCTCGCCACATCCTCTGGACCAGCCACCTCAGCACGTGGCCATCCATCGCCTTCCCCAGGGCCCTCTTTCTGTCCGCCTCGCTCACCCCAGGTGCTGCTGTTGCCTCTTCTCCGTACCCCATAGCCAGCTCCCTTTCAAGAGCCGTGGGCTCCTCCCACCTCCGACTCCTGTGATCATACACCATCCCTGGCCCAGGCTTCCCTGCTTCCCATTTGTACCCCGCCGCTCCTGCATATGCCACCAGAGTGGGCAGGGCTCGCCTCTCCTGCCCCACTTGGTTGCACGGGTAGTGCCTGTGGTAGCCCTTGCGGCTCACTGGTGCTGGGGTCCGCCCTGGGGCCAGGATGTCTTGCACCTTCCTCTCGGTTGATCGCTTCACTCCGTTCATTTCTGCTTGCAGCTTCGCAGCCGGGACCACATTCTGCCAGTACATCCTAAGCCGATGTGCGTAGGACCCCATTCTGGCCGAGTCACAGCTCACCCCCTTCCCCAGCTGCCCCTTGATTCTGTCCCTCACCAGTCGGACCGGCTCTCTACCATCCCCCTCTAGGTCCAGGTTCTCCAGCAGGTACACCACCCTGCCCTGCCTCTCCTGCAGCCATTCCAGGATTCGGAACAAGTCCCCCATCAAGCTTGTCCTGGGGTCTTCTTCTCCCCTCCCCTTGCCTGCCCAAGACACACCCTGGCATTCCCACCCTGCCACCAGCAGGTCCACCTGCCCCCAGCTCGCCACCTCCCTCTCGCTTATCTCTTGGACGTCATGGGTAGCTCCTCCCATGGCTTCCCGGATCACCCCACCATTCAGTAGATCTGGGAACTCCGCTTGCAGCTTCTATGCGTGGTGCTCCGCCATCCTCCTCACCCCCGGCTCCTTCTCCACGTAAGTCCACCTCTTCACGGCTATGCCACTCCTCACCACCGCGGCTAGGCCTGCCCATATACCTCCAAACAGCTCCACCAGGTGGATGGGCTGCTGCCAGTCACTCTGTCGCCTTGAATCGTCCATCCACCTCATCCTGGCTCCCTCTCTCACTCCTGCCCTCCCTCTCAACTCCTCGGCCTGCCGCTCCCCAGCTTGCAGCTCCCCCACGGCCTGGTATGCTCTCTTGGGCTCCACCTTCACAAACCGCACTGGCAGCTCTCCCACGGGCCCCTCCTTCTTCCAGTACCGCGTTCTAAACTCGACCCTCTCCGTCCAAGTACAGATGGTCATCCCCACGGCAAACACTAGCTCGGCACCCACCAACACATCAAAGTCCTCCGACTCTGAAATTCCACACTTCATGCGGATCTTGGTCTCATGTTCCTCCCCCAGCAGCAGAGTCACTTCTATGGGCGTTCTGGTGCATAGCATCCACTTGGGCTCCCCTCCTTCCGCAGTCATCACCAGCATCCCCTTTGCCCCTCCTCTCAGCCCTGTGGCCCTCAGCTGCGCCTCTGGGTGCCTCCCAGGCCCTCCCTCCCTCTGATAGCAGTCCCTCGCCTCGTGCCCACGTTTCTTGCAGATCTCGCACCTGGCTGCATCTGGGCACTCCCGTTTCCTGTGTCCTGGCTTCCCACAGCCGTCACAATTCTTGCAGTCTCTGCGCAGGTGTCCTGGCTGCCCACACTTGTGACAGGTTCTGGTGTCAACTCCGGCTTCCCCTCGCTCCTCTACTCGCCCTGCCCCCTCTGGTATCATTGCCGCAGCCCATGTTGGCCGACGGCTCCTCTCTGCAGGCCTGGGCAAATAAGCCTCATACTTCCTCTGGGCGAGCTCTACCCTCTCTGCCAAGTCAAACACCTCTTCCAAGCTTGCCTCTGCGCCCAGCTCATACACCCTCATTCTCAGTCCTCCCCCCAGGGCCTCATCCAGCCCCCCCAGAAACTTGCTAATGAGCAGGCTGCCGTCAGAGCACTTCACGTCTTCCGCCACATTGATCAACCTGTTGTAGTACGTCAGCAGTGACTCCTCCCTCCCCCTTCTGAACTCCTGAAACTCCCTAACCTTCTCGGCCATGTGCCCGGGAAATTGCCTTTGCAGTTTCTCTAGGAAGGCCTCGGTGGGGTCCTCCCCATACCTCTCTACCCTCCACAGCAACTCCTCCATCCTCATGCGGTACAGTGTCTCCGCCTCCCCCTCCAATGTGTTGGGCAGGCTCAGGAAGAAGTCGACAGGGTCTGTGCCGCTCCTGTCGCAGCGATACCGCACGTTGCCGATCTGCATCAGGTAATTCTTGAGTGAGGGCCCCGCCCGCTGGTCGCCAGAAAACCTCATTGGCACCTCCACCCTTGGTGCCGCGGCTGGGCCCCCTCTCCCTTCTCCCCACGCGTCGCTCGCCCTTCCGGCCGATCTCCCGTATGACCTCCCCTGGTTAGCCTTGTCCAAGCCCTCTCTTACTTCGCGGGCCCTCTCCGCCCCATACGCCAGGCCCACGCTCCTGGTCGCGCTCTCTTGGTGGCTCCTCCTTCCCCTGTATCGCGACCCCCTATGCCCGCCGTCCCTCTCCGTCCGCTCCCAATGCCTTGCCGGCGAGTGGCGGCTTCTCTTTCCTCCCTCTCCACGCGCCTCGTAGGCTGTACGCCGCACCGGGGATGGCGACCATCCCCCTTCGCCCCTTCCGTACCACCGCTGGCCGACAGGTGAGCCTCTCGCTCGTCCCGCCTTCCCTCGCGCCCGCGGCCTCGGACGGGCGAGCGCGACTCCTCTCTGGGTCGCTGGTGCCACCGCCTCTGCTGGCGCGGGGAGCGCGACGCCCCTCTCTGGTGCCACTGCCGCTCGGGCGAGCGGGATTCCCCCCGTCGTCCTCCTCCGCGCGGGGTCTGTCGCTCGTGCCCGCGCCCTTCTCCTGGCTGCCGTGCACCGTGCTGCTCCGCTTGGCGACGCAGCTCATCCGACGTCCGCGAGCGCTCAGTCTCTTCTCCCCCGCGAGATCCCCGCAACTGTAGCTCGCGCACGTCGTCCACCTGCGCCGGTCGCTCCTGCTGCGCCGCATGGCTTGCACGATGTCCCTCATGACGGTCGGGGTCGTCCCGCCGTGATTCCCGCTCCGCCACCCCCTCGTCCTCCTCTGCCTCGTCACACGAGTCGGCCGCCTCGTGGGTTGGTGCGGACTCTCCCGCCCCTGCTCCGTCCGGCTCATCCGGACTTTCTCCTGCCTACTCGGGGATGGGCTCGAGCTCCTCCGCCGCATCCTCGGCTTCGTTCTCCAGCGTCGTCCCGGCCCGCGAGCTTTCACCGGCGTGCATTCCGCCCGCAGCTTCGCCTCCTCCCTGCTCTTCGCGTCCCCTCCAACGGCCTCGCTCATCACGCCGCCGCCTCCCTTCCTCCGGGGAGTGGTACGGCCCGCCGCTCAGGTGGAACGTATCCCGCCGCCACGGCGCGCCGCCCGTCGCCGCATTGCGCCTTTCATCGTTCATTCTGTCGTGGCCGAAACCTCCGTCTCGTCGGATCGGCTCAAGGGGGACCCGATCCGCGCGGAAAGCGGGCCTCCCGTGGGATCGACGCTCCACTGACCGTCCGCGTTCCTGCGTGCGATTCTCCCCCGGCCCGTCTTCGTCTCGTTGACTGAACACTCTACCCCACCGCACTTCATACTTATCCATTCTATGCTACTCGCTCGAACCGCTCAATGCTTTCTCGTTGTTATGAACGGGATTCCTCCCTCACCCCACAGGTTCCCTCCTGGTGTGTGCCACAGAGTGCTAGAAGCTCGGATGACAACTTTCACTACTAAGAGAGAATAACAACGAGAAAGCATCGAGGGGTTGGGAGTGAGTGACCTTACCCAACCCTTGGCTGCACATTCCCAAATGTGCGGCTCGGGGTTGGGATTCCTTGGTTTCACATTTCGCCCTTCGGTGCCCTTTCCCTCCCAATCCAACCGCTCCTATCCCGTTTCCCCCCCCCCCTTTCTACACCCCTCCTACCAGCTGCTTCGCTACAATCTATACCTACAGCTCATTCCTATCTCATACTATGATAACTATTCCTACTGTTTATGGCTGTAACCGAGAGCACTGCCTACACCATCATCTTACAGTTATTGCATATGCATTAGGTGCATATGCGGTGACAGCTGCTGCCCAGCGCGTCGCGCCCTGCTGCCCTGCCCAGCGCGCGCCCCGCTGCCCTGTCCAGCGCGTCTCCCTGCCCTTAGGCCCGCGCGCCGCCCTGCCCTTAGGCCCGCGCGCCGTGCTGCCCTGCCCTTAGGCCCGCGCGTCGCCCTGCCCTTAGGAATGCGCGCTGCCCTGCCCTGCAGCCCGCAACCGCGCTGCCCTGCCCTTAGGCCCACGCGCCGCCCTGCCCTGCAGCCCGCGCGCCGCCCTGCCCTTAGGCCTGCACGCCGCCCTGCCCTTCGAGCCGCGCTGCCCTGCGCCGTGCGCTGCCCGCGCGCGACTGCCCTAGCCCTGCCCAACAAGCGACCTGCACGAGAGCACCCAGTTACTCGCGCACTTCCCTAGCTGCTCCTGCGCTGCTGCTACTGTCTGCCACCGACTGCCATGGCCACTACTACTGTCCTACGTCAGCGGCAGCCGAGTGTGCAGGAGTCTCTCTTGCCGCAGCAGCTTCGCGAGTGGGCTATCTAGTGGGGCAGTCCCGGTGGCGGAGCTAGCTGTGCTCGTCGGCAGAAGCCGCTTTGCCACAGCAGTGTCGTGAGTGGGCTGTCCTGTGGGGTGCTACTACTGGAGGTACCTGTGAGTCTACTCCTGCTGGTAGTACCGCTAGTAGATGCGGAGGTTCTGGGGGTGGACAGCAGCAGCAGCAGCGTCCGCTGGAGACTCTCTCCCCGCAGCAGCTTCGTGAGTGGGCTGTCCGGTGGGGCAACCCCGGTGGCGGAGGGTTTCGGGGTACTCGTACTGGGGGTGTAGAGGCACTTGTTGGCGTAGAGGCTACTAGTCTCCGTGCGTGTGACTCAGCTAGCGCAAAGGCAGAGCCTGAGGAGGCCTTGCACACTTTTACTCTCGACTCAGGCGCGTCTCGTTGCTTCTTCCGCGTCAGCACCACAGTCACACCGCTCACAGTCCCTGTCCCTGTCACACTGTCCGACCCCTCCGGGGGCCCGGTAGTCGCGCGTGGCGCCACTGTTCTCCCTTGTCCGGCGGCCCCTTCCGGCCTCCTCACAGGCCTCCACCTCCCCTCGTTCGCTAAGAACTTGGTGGCTACCTCTGTCCTCCAGGACCAGTGGGTCACTGTCACCCAGCATGGGGGCGAGCTAGTGGCGATCTGTACGGACTCGCGCACTGGAGAGCACCTCGCCACGTTCAGTCCGCGGCCTGGGTCTGGCCTGTACACACTGACCACTGAGTCTGCACTGGTAGCTGAGTCAGGTCAGGTAGCTGCGTCGGTTGAGTTCGCTGCGTCTTGCTCATGTCGTCTCCTCACGCACCAGACTCTCCTCTGGCACCACCGTCTTGGCCACCCCTCCTTGCCACGCCTGCGTGGCATGCACTCCCGTCTCCTTGTGTCTGGTCTCCCCATGTCCCTGCCCCCGCTCCCGAGGTCGCTTGCACCACCCTGCCTTCCCTGCATCAAAGGGGCGGCAGCGCGCCGCTCCTCACTCCTCCTCTTTTCCTCCTACCACTGCTCCTCTGCAGAGCCTGCACATGGACGTGTGGGGCCCCGCCCGCGTCACTGGACAGGGTGGCGAGCGCTACTTTCTGCTGGTTGTCGACGAATACACGCGCTACACCACGGTCTTCCCCTTGCAGAGCAAGGCGGATGTCTGCGGTGTCTTGATCCGCTGGATCCGCGCTGTCCGTCTCCAGCTTCGCGCTCGGTTCCAGCAGGACCTCCCAGTCCTGCGGCTGCACTCTGACCGAGGTGGTGAGTTTTGCTCCCGCCTCCTTGAGGACTTCTGTGGTGCTGAGGGCATCGTCCAGTCGTCCACGCTTCCGGCCTCTCCACAGCAGAATGGGATTGCCGAGCGCCGCATTGGTCTTGTCATGGAGGTTGCTCGCACCTCCATGATCCATGTGGGTGCTCCCCATTTTCTGTGGCCGTTTGCGGTCCGATACGCCGCTGAGCAGCTCAACCTCTGGCCCCGTGTCTCCCACCCGGAGACCTCCCCCACTTGCGGTGGACGTGCGAGGTTGGTGATGCGTCGGTGTTTCGGGTCTGGGGTTCCCTCTCTCTTGTCCGCGATTTGCATGCGGGCAAGCTCTCTCCACGCACTCTTCGGTGCGTGTTCCTTGGCTTTCCCACCGACGCACCGCCCTGGCAGTTTTACCACCTGGGCTCTCTTCGGTCGTATGCTGTCCTCCCGCGACGTCACCTTTGACGAGTCCGTCTGCTTCTACCGTCTTCACCCCCACCGAAGTTCCCCGGTACCCGTCCCGCCTCTCTCCCTGGTGGACGACCCCCCCCCGGTAGCCCCCCTCCCTCCTCCCAGTCCCGCTCCCTCAGGTGTGTCTTAGGTAGACCCACCCCCCTTGGTTGAACCTTTGGAGGTCTCCTCAGACACCTCTGGCCCAGCTGAGGGGGGTGACCCGACTCCTTCTGCCACTGTGACCCCTCGCCGCTCTGCACGCTTGGCGGTCCCTCCTGGGTTTCAGCCTCGACCGTCTTCACCGCCGCTGCAGCCTGTCGCTGTGGACTCTGGTGCTGCAGGAGGTGGTACCACTGGGGGTGCTGGTTCTGGGGGTGCTAGTTCTGGGGGTGCTGAGTGTCCTCTGTGTACAAGAGTTACTGGATGTACTGGTGCCGGTGGTCCTGCTATGAGTCGACAGGAGGCTCTCTCGCCGGAGCGGCTTCGCGAGTGGCTATCCAGTGGGGCAGCCCTGCTGGTGGAGCTAGCCATCTTAGAGCGGGAGGTGCTGGACGTGCTGGAGCTACAGGTTCTGGAGGTGCTAGCCCCGGAGGTGCTAGTGCTGGTGTTCCTGGTACTGGAGGCGCAGGTGCTGCTGGAGGTGTTGGAGGTGCAGATTCTGGAGGTGCTAGCCCTGGAGGTGCTAGTGCTGGTGTTCCAGGTACTGGAGGCACAGGTACTGATGGAGGTGCTGGAGGTGCAGGTACTGCTGGAGGTGCTGGAGGTGCTGGCACTGGAGGTACTACTGGAGGTACTGCTGGAGGTACTGGAGTTAGTGGTGCTAGTCGGCAAGAGTCGCTCTCGCCGCTGCAGCTTCCTGAGTGGGCTGTTCGTTGGGGCAGTCCCGGTGGTGGAGCTGGAGGCACTGGTTCTGGGGGTGCTGTTGCTACTTGAGCTGGCGGTTCTGGGGGTGCGACTACTCAGCCGCAGCCGTCTGCACTTCGTCACCTTCTCTGTCTCCCGCCTGCTGCTACTAAGTTCCCGGTTGCTGGTTCTACTCCTCCGTTACTGTTCCCACCGACTGACCAGTCACAGCCACAGCTACTGCCTGGCTCCCCGCTGCCTGCTCCTGCTCCTCACATTGAGGTGACTGCATCCCTGACTGCGCGTCGTGAGCCTGAGACTCGTGCTTCCACTCCTGAGCGTCGTGAGCCTGAGACTCGTGCTTCCACTCATGTTCGCGGTCTTCATTTTGTCCGTCCTCGTGCTCCAGCTGTGTCAGGCACTCACCGTATGGCACTTCGTCCTTCCTCGATTCCACAGCGTGTTGTCCTGTCGTCTCCTCCTGCGTCTTCCCTTCCTCACGTTCCTGACCCTGAGTCAGACCTTGTCCGTGCTGCCAGTCCAACAATCACTCGTCTCCTTGCCACGGTTGTGACGCACCCTTCCTTTGAGTCTGCTGCTACGTCTGACTTAGTTGCTGAGCTTGTTGACTTTGCTGCTTTGTGCCGCCTTGACTACGCTGCAAGTCTTGTTTTTAACTCTTCCTGTCCTCCGTTCGTCGGGGGTGAGCTTGCCCTTGGCTGTGACGTTCTTGAGGACAGGAAGTTTGAGCTGGAGTGCCTAGCGGCAGCTGCACCTCATCTCGCGTCCACGCTACTTTGCCCTGAAGGAGACCCGGATGCACTGGACATCCCGACCCCGCGCACTTACGGAGAGGCGATCACGAATTCGTACTCCTCTCAGTGGCAGATAGCCATGGACGCAGAGATGGCTTCCTGGAAGTCCACAGGCACCTACGTCGACGAGGTTCCCCCACATGGGGCGAACATAGTCGATGGCATGTGGATTTTCAGGGTGAAGCGGCCGCTGGGTTCTCCGCCTGCCTTCAAGGCGCGTTACGTTGCACGAGGCTTCAGTCAGCGTGAGGGGGTCGACTTCTTTCAGACCTTCTCCCCCACCCCGAAGATGACCACTCTTCGGGTGCTACTTCACATTGCAGCACAGCGCGACTACGAGCTGCACTCCCTCGACTTCTCGACAGCCTTCTTGCAGGGCAGCCTTCACGAGGCTATCTGGTTGCGCCGTCCACGTGGCTTCACTGGGTCGTTACCTGAGGGTACCCAGTGGAGTCTTCGGTGACCAGTCTACGGCCTACGACAGGCACCCCGC